AGGCTGCCGCCCCCCCCCCCCCCCCCAGCTTTGCACGGCCCCTCCCCCCGCTGCTGCTGAAGGTGAAAATCGTCGTTTTTTGTGGTTTGGCCTCAAAAATTCCTGCCCACCCCCGACCCGCCTGCGCCGTGTCCCACCCGCCGCCGTCGGGGGCTTCGTGCGACCCCCCCCGGGCTGAAATTGAGGGGGAGAGACCCCAAAATCCCCCCCCCCCCCCCAAAACGAGGAGGGGGCTGAATGGCACCTCCAGACCCAAAACTGGGGGATTTAACCCCAAAATGAGAGGGTTTAGCTGCAAATTAAGGCTCTCAGTGGGGTCACCCTCAATTTTTTTGCCACCCACGCCTGCGGGTTTTGGGGTGTCCTGCGCCCCCCACATCGTGCTGAACCCAAACCGAGGGGTTTTAACCCCAAAATGGAATTTGGCTTTGGCCCCAAAATAGGCGTTTTTAGCCCCAAACTGGGGTCTCTCCCCCCCGGATTTGGGGGGGTGTTTGGGGGGTGGGGGGAGCCTCTGTGCCGCCGCTTGACCCCCATCTGCATGGCCGGGCTGGGGGGACCCCCAAAATTCAGTGGGGGGACCCCAAAACCGTCCCCACGCATGGCTGGGATGGGGGGAACCCCTGAATTTTGGGGAGGGGGTTCCCCAGCATGGCTGGAATGGGAGGGGACCCCAAAATTCCGTGTGGGGACTCCAAAACCGCCCCCCCCCACCCCCCCGGCATGGCTGAAATGGGGGGGGGACCCCAAAATTCTGTGTGGGTTACGCTGTGGGGGAGGGGACACACAGGAGACCCCCAAAATGCCACGTGGGGGCTGGAGTGGGGGGAGGGGAACCCCAAAATTCTGTGTGGGGGCCCCAAAACCATCGCCTGACATGGTTGGGATGGGGGGACCCCAAAATTCTGTGTGGGGGTCCCAAAACCAGACCCCAAAATTCTGTGTGGGGACCCCAAAACCATGCTCCAAAATTCTGTGAGGATCCCGAAACCACCCCCTGACATGGTTGGGATGGGGGGACCCCAAAATTCTGCGTGAGGACCCCAAAATTCTGCGTGAGGACCCCAAAATTCTGTGTGGGGACCCCAAAACCACTCCCCAACGTGGCTGGGATGGGACCCCAAAACCCCCTCGGGGGTGCACGAGGTCACCAAACGGGTGGGACAGAGGGGGGGGACACACACAGAGGAGGGGACAGGGGGGACCCCAGCCCCGCCCCTGACGGCGTCCCCGTCCCCCAGCAGCGTCCCCGGGCGGGCGCGAGCGGGGGGCGTCCCCGGGGGGGGGCCCCCAGAGCCCCCCGGAGTCGCCGGAGTCGCCGTTCGAGGTGGTGCCGGACAGAGCCGCCTTCGACCGCGAGTTCGGCCCCGCGCTCGGCCAGATCCCCGAGGGCCGCGTGTGCCACTTCCCGCCCAAACCCCGCGGCGTGGCCGGAGCGACCGCAGGAGCGACCGCAGGAGCGACCGGAGTGACCGCAGCAGGGGTGACCGGCGCGGGCAGGGGTCCGGCCCGGCCGCCCCCCGGCTCGGCGGCGGCGCTGGAGGAGGTGTCGCGCTGCGTGCGGGAGATGCACAGCTTCACCAGCGAGCTGCTCTCCTGGGACCTGGTGGAGCGCAACGGCGGCCACGGCGACGATAACGGCGTGGCCAGTGCCGGGAATGGCGTGGCCAGCGCCGGGAACGGCGTGGCCAGTGCCGGGAATGGCGTGGCCAGTGCCGGGAATGGCGTGGCCAGTGCCGGGAATGGTGTGGCCAGTGCCAAGAACGGCGTGGCCAGTGCCGGGAACGGCGTGGCCAGTGCCGGGAACGGCGTGGCCAGTGCCGGGAATGGCGTGGCCAGTGCCAAGAATGGCGTGGCCAGCGCCGGGAACGGCGTGGCCAGTGCCAAGAACGGCGTGGCCAGTGCCGGGAATGGCGTGGCCAGTGCCAAGAACGGCGTGGCCAGTGCCGGGAATGGCGTGGCCAGTGCTGGGAATGGCGTGGCCAGTGCCGGGAATGGCATGGCCAGCGCTGGGAATGGTGTGGCCAGTGCCGGGAATGGCGTGGCCAGTGCCGGGAATGGCGTGGCCAGTGCCGGGAATGGCGTGGCCAGCGCCGGGAATGGCGGCAGCAGCCTCGGGAATGGCGTCACTGGTGTCACCGGTGTCACTGGCATTGGGAATGGTGTCACCGGCATTGGCAACGGGGTCGCCGGTGTCACTGGTACTGGGAATGGTGTCACCGGTGTCACTGGCATTGGGAATGGTGTCACCGGTACTGGGAACGGTGTCACCGGTGTCACCAGCACTGGGAACGGTGTCACCGGTGTCACTGGCATTGGGAATGGTGTCACCGGTACTGGGAACGGTGTCACCGGTGTCACCAGCACTGGGAACGGTGTCACCGGTGTCACTGGCATTGGGAATGGTGTCACCGGTACTGGGAACGGTGTCACCGGTGTCACCAGCACTGGGAATGGTGTCGCTGGTCTCACTGGCATTGGGAATGGTGTCACCGCCATCGGGAATGGCGTCACCAGTATCGGGAGCGGTGTCACTGCTGTCAGCAGCCTGGAGAGCGACGTCACCGTCACTGGGAATGGCCTCGGTGGCACCGGGAATGTCCCCAGAGGTGTCCCCGGCGTAGGGAGCGGCGTCACCGGAGGTGTCCCCACCGCTGTCCCCACGGACGCCGACAGCTCCGGTGACTCCGACGACACCGTCATCGAGGAGGCTCCGGGCCAGCCCCCCCGTGCTGTCCCCAGGGATGTCCCCAGGGATGTCCCCAGGGATGTCCCCGTCCCCGCCGCCGCCTCCCGGGACTGGGAGCAGGAGCGCCAGACCCTGCGGGCGCTGCAGGAGCTGGGGGAGCCCCCCCGGCCCCCCCCGGCCGGGCCCCTGCCCCACCTGGCAGGTAAAGCCCCAAAAATGGACTTTTGTACCCCAAAACGGCGCCGCCGGCAGCGGGGGGAGGGGGGGCGGCTGCGAAAGGCCCCAAAAATGGGGCAAAAGAGGAGGAGGAGGAAGGGGGAGACCCCACCCCAAAATGCTGCTGGGAGGGGAGGTTCGTGTGCGCTTTGTTTTGGGGTAAAATCCAGGGATTTGGGCCCAAACCCGCCGGCACACTTGGGAAGGGTTAATTAACGCTTGGTTTTAGTGGGGGGGGTGTAATTAAGGCCTGTGTGTAACGAAGGGGCTCGTTTAATGAGGGAGGGTAATTAGCGGGAAGTTGGGCTCAGTTTGGGCTGAATTGTGGTGAATTTTGTCCTTGTGCTGGGTGGGGAGTGACACAGGGACCCTCCTTGTCCTCCCTGTGTCCCCTCCTTGTCACCCCTGTGTCCCCTCCTTGTCCTCCCTGTGTCCCCTCCTTGTCCTCCCTGGTGTCCCCTCCTTGTCCTCCCTGGTGTCCCCTCCTTGTCACCCGCTGTGTCCCCTCCTTGTCCTCCTTTGTGTCCCCTCCTTGTCACCCCCTGTGTCCCCTCCTTGTCCTCCCTGTGTCCCCTCCTTGTCCTCCCTGTGTCCTCCCTGTGTCACCCCTGTGTCCCCTCCTTGTCCTCCTTGTGTCCCCTCCTTGTCACCCCCTGTGTCCCCTCCTTGTCCTCCCTGTGTCCTCCCTGTGTCACCCTGTGTCCCCTCCTTGTCCTCCTTGTGTCCCCTCCTTGTCCTCCTTGTGTCCCCTCCTTGTCCTCCCTGTGTCCCCTCCTTGTCACCCCCTGTGTCCTCCCTGTGTCACCCACCGTGTCCCCTCCGTGTCCCCTCTGTGTCATTTCTTTGTCACCGTCTGTGTCCTTCCTATGTCCCCTCCTTGTCCTCCTGTGTGTCCCCTCCTTGTCACTCCCTGTGTGACTCTGCTGTCACCCCCATGTCCCCTCCTTGTCCCTTCCCTGTCCCCCCGTGTGACCCCGCTGTCTCCCCGTGTCCCCTCTGTGTCACACCCGTCTCCCTGCTGTCACCCCGTGTCCCCTCTCTGTCCCCCCGTGTGACCCCGCTGTCTCCCCGTGTCCCCTTCCTGTCACCCCGTGTGACCCTGTGTCCCCCCCCGTGTGACGTGGCCGTGTCCCCCGTGTGTCCCAGCAGTGTGGGATCTGCTGTTCTGGCGGGACGTGAGGAGGAGCGCGGTGGCCTTCGGTGCCAGCGTGGTGCTGCTGCTGTCGCTGGCCACGCTCAGCGCTGTCACCGTGGTGGCCCACGTGGCGCTGGCCCTGCTCTCGGTCACCATCAGCCTCCGCGTCTACAAGGCCGTGGTGCAGGCCCTGCAGAAATCCGAGGAGGGGCACCCCTTCAAGTGAGTGCGGATTTCGGGGTGTCCTCCCCGCTTTTGGGGGGTTTGGGAGCTTGGGGACACCCCCAGCCCCGATTTGGGGACGCCCGGCTGCTGGTCTGCTCTGGGCGGGGGAAGGGCTCGGGTTGCAGGGGGGATTTTGGGGTGT